ACCACTATACTGCTCTAAACTATACTGCTCTACCTGCCACTATACTTCTCTAATCTGCCACTATACTTCTCTAATCTGCCACTATACCTAACCTGCCACTTTACCGCCACTATACTGCCTTAATCTGCCATTAAACTGCTATACCCTGCCACTATGCTGAACTAGCATAACCACATCTCTCTTATATATGTGTGATTCAAGTATGACATTAGGTTAAAGATATGCTGCTTTCAAAACCACGCCTGTTTTAAATGAATACCTCATCCCTAATTTAAGTACATTCTTCATCTACAATGGCTTTCTGGGTGCATAGCAAAAAAAGGTGACCCTAGAAATGTTTTTAAAATGTTAGCAACTATGCTGAACTCCTCCTATCTCTGCACTGCACACAATCTGGGCAAAAGCAGCAGAGCTCATGCTGCCCACACAGCACATAGCTGAGATCAGATTCCCTTACACACAACCACAATCTGCACAGTGTGTAGCTGGCTGCTATGTTGCAGTTCTGATCTGTGAAATTCCCTGGTCAGAATGGTAGCGCAGCTGCAGTAGCCAGCTGCACACTGTGCAGATCATGGTTGTGTGTAACGGAATCCAATCTCAGCTATGTGTAATGTGTGACGAGGAGATGATTTGCTGCCTGTGCCCAGGCTGTGTGCAGTGCAGTGATGGGAAAAGAACTTCTGCAGAGAGCCTTGCCAGCAGTGACCCCTAAACGCTGCCGAGTTCTCCCTGCTGTAACCCGTCATCTGCCCTGCCAGCAGCAACCCCTGCCTTTTGCCTTGCCAGCAGTAACTCCTACCTTTGCCTTGCTAACAGTGACTCCTATATTCTGCCCTGCCAGCAGTGACCCCTGTTCTTTGCCCTGCAGACTTCTGTACACTGATTTACAAGTTAATAGCCTCTGTTCCTTGCCCTAAAAACTGATTACCCTATCCCTCTGTCCTGCTGAGTTCCTCTACACTGCACCCCCACATTAGACAGGCTAGATCCGGCCCTGGAATGAAGACCTCTCAAACTGCTTAAGGAAAGGGAGCCTTGACTGATAGAAGCATGGCTACACAATAGGCATTGACCTAACACAGCGAAATTAGGCAGCTCCATTAGAATGGACTACAAGAACCTGAAGTTAAGGGGCAAGTCTAAACTCTAGAAAAAGACTTCACTGAGGCAGCTCCCTGAACTGACAAAATTCAACATTCAGAAGAGTTTCCCGCCTGCTATGTTTTGTCACAGTTTTATTGGCAGTTGAACCTTGTCACCAATTAGGATTGCTTTAATGGGATATGCTCTCAAGTTGAATTTTGGGTCAGTCTAATGCCTGTCACTGATGGTTAAAATAGGCTTCTTAGACAATGTCAGGTTATCGTTTACTTGTGCTTACAGTATAACTGTGACAAGCAATGGTAACGTGTTATATTTGAAAATTTCAAAAAAGCTGTTGCCTTAACCTTTTTCAACTTAAAGCGTAGCTCCAGTCAAAATTTAAAAAAAAAAAAAAATATTCAGCAGCTACAAAAACATTCACCTGTCCCTCGATCCTTTGGTGTCCTCACCGTAGCTGGTTTCACCGGACATCCTCTCTCTCTTTGGGGACAGCATCTTAAGTGTGGGCACCTGGCTGTGACAGCTTGCCATGGTTTGGGCATGGGGCGGGTGGTTTTTACGATACCCCACAACCACTGTTGTAGTGTAGCAATGGTTATCCCACCCCATGGTTCAGCGGCCCTTGCGGCCTCCCTGTCACATTCTGCTTTACACTTGGACAGGAGATGCAGCTGGGGTGGCATGTACAGGAAATGATCCTCTCCATTTTCCTACTGCAACGGATGAAAGATGGCTTCTCCTTTTCTCCTTCCCACCGGCATGTAGCAGCTACAGCAGAAAATGCTCATTATGCCAATCAAAAAAAACAGTCAAAATTCTGAACCATTTAATTTCCCTGAGGCCCGCGAAGGCTTATCAAATCATTTAATTGGCCCTTACTCTTCAAAAGGTTGAGTACCCCTGATCTAGAAGATGGATTCTTCCATATACTTATACATTCCAGCTTCCAGAAGTTTCTGTGTTATACAGTGAATGAGCTCCACCTTCAGTTTTCTATATGTATGCTGCCATGGGTAGCCTCCAGGAAAGGAAAATTGCAGTTCATACAATTTTCAGGTTTTTTGCTTAGTGTTCATCATGTTCTGCTGTACAATCCTTCATCTCATCTGCATCTTCAACAGATTGCGTTCATTTTCAATTTTGAAATAGAAAGTGAAAAAAAAAATGCTGTAATTTTTTTCATGGATTCATGTCACCACAATGACCTGAAATCTTGGAGAAACAATATGTAGACACGTACCAGAAAAGTGATTATAAGGAAAAACTTGTCCCGTGTGTAGATGTTTTTCTATTTTAATTGCTTTCTCATATGATTGGTGGTCAGTAAACAAACTGTGTGTTTCAGTGACATTTCAGTTTTTGGTGGATGTATGAGAATGAAATGGCATGTTTTCACATGTCTCTCTTCATGTGCCTCTCAGGGATGTTTTATAGTTTGGAGAATGCCACAGAAGCTGTAGGACTCTCTGCTGCATCAGGAGTAGGGATAGCCATACATAGGCTTAATGGGAAAAAAACAATGGATTTCTTCTTCCATGATAAACAATATGGTGGAGGAATCTGCACTGCCAGCTATTGTATTCAGACAACCGCCTCACCCACTGCGGAGAGGATACAAACACTGTTCGGCCCCAAAATTATCCACCTGGCTCAGTTTGTTTTTGAAGACTTTTGTCAGCTGGGTTGTTCTTGCAGGACCACCCAAGATTCAAATTTTGTCTGATTGAACAGGAATCTGCTGAAATTCAAGCCATCCGTGGCCAACAGTTCCCATGGAAGTGACACATAGCCTCCCTGTACTGCAGATGCACAAAAAAGGGAGCCACACTTTTTTGGAGCATCTTAAGCAGGCTTGTTAATTTTTTTTTTAAATAAAAGCGGAGCTCCACCCAAAAGAAGTTCCGCTTTAAAAACTGGTCTCCCGCGCTCCCCATTAAGGATTTGCACCTTTGGGGAGCGGGTACCCGAAATTGACAGGTACCCGCTCCCACTTCGATCACCTAGGCGATCAGAAATGGAAGCTGTCCTCCTACCCTCCTTTCCCATAGTGTTCTGGGACACGTGACAGGTCCCAGAAGACTACGGGGCCATTCAGGAAGCGCAGCGCTACTCGCACATACGCAGTGGGCACCCGGCTGTGAAGCCGCAATCTGTCACAGCCGGGTGCCCACACTGAAGATGACGGCGCCTAGAACACCAGACGGCTGGTGAGGACACCATGGGATCGTGGGACAGGTAAGTGGCTGTTTTTTAAAAGTCAGCAGCTGCAGTTTTTGTAGCTGCTGACTTTTTTTTACAATGTGAGTGGAACTCCGCTTTATGTTTTAATTTTCAGAAATGTTGCATGTTACATACACACAGACACAAAGGGATTGATTTACTAAAATTGGAGAGTGCAAAATCTGGTACACCTCTACACAGAAACCAATTAGCTTCTAGGATTTTTTGTCAAAGCTTAACTGAACAAAAATTTACCGTACAGTGTCAGCCTGTTCATTTTAAGGTCACCCACTGCTTGAATTTCGTTAGATTCGACAGGAATCATGCAAAACTGGAGCCGTGTATGTCTAGCTTAAGACACCAAGGAACAGAGTTCAGAAGCGATATCTTCGGTGCGATGGAATGAAGATATCACTTCTGAAGGCAGAAAAGTTCCGAAGTCCACCAGACTCCATGGGGTTTATTTACTAAAGCTGGAGAGTCCAAAATCAGACTCCCTTCTGCATAGAAACCAATCAGCTTCTAACCTCAGCTTGTTCAATGAAGCTTTGGCAATGAAACCTGGAAGCCGATTGGTTTCTATGCAGAAGGGAGTCTGATTTTGGACTCTCCAGCTTTAGTAAATAAACCCCCATCTGTCATGTCCATGAGACTGTCATATGGTAGATCTAAATTCTGTACAACCAAGCCAATTTCTTCCATTTGGTAGACATACATTTTTTTATCAGCTCAATTTGGAATTAATTTCCAGACTGTAGTAATGGATGGTGAAAGAACTGAACAGCTGGCATTGACTGCTTACATCACCACGGATAACAGGCATGAGTTTTCAGTGGTTTTATTAGGTGTTTTCTACCTAAATAGGGTTTTGTCTATATCGCTGATTTTCCTGTGTTTGTACCTTCCTATGTGGTCTTGATATGTTGATAAATTACCCTGCATGTGTAATTTGATGAGAAACAAGGAGATCATCATCCCAAAATATACATTTTAATAGTAACAGTTGGTAGTCAGATAATACAGAGGTTTTGTTGGTGTACACAACTTGGAGGTGAAGAAAAATATTAAAAATATGATAAAAATCATCCATGGTCTAAAGGCACTTAACATACTTTTTTTTTGAAGATGAAATGTATTGGAAAAAAGAACCCCATGGGCAAATAAATGTTAAAGTGCTGTGTTCTATGTATTGGGGGAAAATAAGCACTAGCATTGACTGGAGGAAAAAGTCACATGGGCAATTATGCAAAGAACCATACCAACCAATCACATTCTGCCTTTAGAAGTTCAAAGTAGCCAGAAAGATTAATTCCTATTGGTTGATGGAAACATGTGCTTTTAACATTCCTCTCTGTTGTCCCATTGCTCAGTCTGTAACATGGTTGTGATGACAGTACAAACTTGGCCACTGTGTTAGTGATCTGATGAAAAACAATAGCTCTCAAGACTTCTGTATGATCTGCAGTGTGTTATGATCGTAGCCCTCAGCAGGATGATCAGTGATCAGGGTAAGTATAACAGTTCTGGACCACTCTTTACGCAGTGGAGAATTCACATTTAATCACAAATATATTTTACAAAGGTCTATATGCTCCTTATTGAGTCCAGAATAAAGAATCACTGATCTTATCAGGAGTACAATTTGTGCAAAAGAAAAGTGACATAAAAGAGATTTATTTGGGCTTCTCTTCCACACTGTAGAGATCATGGCGACGTTGGCTATGAATTGGTATTTGTTGACGGATATCAGCAAGGTATTGCAAGTCTGAAAAAAAAAAAGAAATAGAGCTGAAGAGCAATTAAATAATACAGTCAGCCTTGCATTGTTAAAGGTAACTTTTAGTACAATCATCTGTCAATCTGTTCTGCATTCAACACTTTTTGGACAGTTAGATGCCAGTGTCTCCAGATGGGTGCTGTGGCTCACTCTTCAGGTCCCTACATCATTACAGGTCTCAGCAGCTGTGTAAGCCTAGATTCACACTATGAATTGCCTACGAATTGCACAGGAATGCCAAGCGCATCCCCATGCAATTCACATGCGATTCAGTGCACTGTGATTTGAGCCCGTTCATTATGAATTGCATCAAATCGCACTGCTTCACAACAAAAGTAGTGGATGCATTACTGGAAACTCAAGCAAAACACATGGTAGTTTTGTACTATGCAATCCGGTGCAGACAAACGCACTCCACTTGGGATGTCATTAACATTGCACTGACACCCACTGCAGATCGCAAAGACAGTGCATTATGAATGTGGTGCGGGAAATGTACACTGATCGCAGGTAAACTGGGGCTAAGGGTCAATGAAAGATGCCACAGCACATGGACACAGGCCTCCATTATTCCAAGAAGTATTAAATGCTGAAGATCTCTTTAAACAAATTATATATAAATACAAGAGGATTGTTGTGATCTTACTTGAATCTTGGTGTTCTTTGTGTATTTCTTACAGTGCGCTGCTATCCAATGTGAAAGTTTTCCTTTGTGAAGGAGCTTCCTGTAATAGAACCAGTCACTACTGCTCCCTCTCCTTGTGCAGGATGACTGGTCTTGTCTCCGCCCCCTCCTGTAGTTTTCTGTAGGCAGCCTGTAGTGGGTGAAGCTACTGGGCCCCTCCCACAGCTCTGCGCAGGCTATGTACAACACAGTGATGATGCTATTGCTACTATAATTAGGTAATATCTGGGTTTGTAAAAGCATTTTGGAGCACACACAGTTTGATTTTTATCCTCTGTGGCTAGTGTGGAATACATTTAAATTAAAGGTTTTTTTAATGCCTGAAATTCAGATTTCAGGCAGACAACCCCAGTTAGTAGACCTATCTAAATGTTTTAACCACTTCAAGTCCGGACACTTTCACCTCCTTCCTGTCCAGGCAAATTTTCATCGCCATCACACTTGACTATTGCGCGGTCATGCAACACTGTACCCATATTAATTCTTTACCATTTTTTTGAAACAGATAAAACTTTATTTTGGTGGTATTTATTCACCACTGGGATTTTAATTTTTATGCTCTATAAATGAAAAAGTCCAAATATTTTGAAAAAAAGTGTTTTTCTTATAAAATTTTGAAAATAAATAATCTTTCTTCATAAATCTTGGCCAAAATGTATTCAGGTATCTTTTTAGTAAAAAAAATTAAAAAATAACCTAAAATTAGTTTATAACCAAAAATTATAAATTTTTAAAAACATTTTTTAATTTTTTTTTTTTTTTTTTTTTTTTTTTTTTTTTTACATACTGCCATCCTAGCAGTACAGTGTCACCATGGTGACACTGTACTACTTGTGGGGGGGTTATGAAGTTTTTTTTTTTACACTGATTGCTTTTACACCCATAAAGGCTGTAAAAGCAATCATTTCTCCTTCTCTCTGGCTGCATTCTTGCAGCCATTGAGAAATACTGTGTGAGCTGTGATTGGTCACAGGTTGTCACATGGTACAAGGCTGTTGTGAATAGCTTTGTACCATGTGACCTCTGTAATCATTCACAGATTTCATGCGTAGTAAGCAATGATGTCAGAAGTGACATCTTGCTTACTACTCTTCATGTGATCACTGATTGGCCAATCAGTGATCACACGATCGGGACCTCGCAGAGGACCCGTACAATGATCAGTGTTTCACTGTGTCTGGAGGACACAGTGGGCACCGGATTGCGGTGCTGCTCGCTCCCAGGGAGCGTGCACAAGCAGGGGGCGGGGAGGCCCTCTATAAACAGCCACTCACCCCTCCACTGTTTGGCCGTTTATATACAACGGCCAGATGGGAAGTGGTTAAAAACAGAAACAAGTGAAGTTTTGCAACTGAGATTGCCAAAATCTTTGCAGTGTATTATCCATCTGGAGGGGATTTTTTTTTCACAACAGATCTAGAGCTTCACTTTAATTGAAAAAGGAAATAAGGTGACAAATGTAAAAAAGAAAACATTTCACTTTCGAGACTTTTTATGGTACCAAACACAAATAGCAAATATTTACATTGAAATACATAAATGTGTTGTTACATGGTCAAGAACACTAAACATTATCTTGATAATGTAATAATATATTATTCATATACATGTTATTTGTGTTTGGCACTGTAACAATTCCACAGCCTACACCAAACATTTCTTCCTTGAAATTATGAGGTCCATCGCTGTATCATTTTAAAATCAGTCTTACAGTTAATGTGAACATTTCAGGTACATTTTTTCCTTGACAGTGAGAGACTATCAGGACTATTTCATATATGTGTCACTGGTAAATTAGTACTCTGGCAAAAGTGAGTCAGTAAATGTGCATCATCCTAGGGGGGTTCCAATATCTCACATTGAGAACACACATTCTTTACCTATATCCGTGGAAGTGATAACTTCATCTGCCCCAGCCTTAGCAATGACTTCTCCCCTGAAACGCACCAGAAATATAAAGAATGATAAATTCAGGCATTTTGAGAAGTAACAGAAATCAGATTTCTTGTTCTGTCTTCTTTGTCAACAGCCTATATGCAAAACTAAAGCTCAGAGTATTTAACGTGGCTACTGTTATTTTGACAGCTGAAGACCACCATTGAAATTGGCTTCTTCATTGCTATATGATCATAGAATGAAATCAACTAAACAATAGAATTTCAACCAAACATTTTGAAAAAAAAAAATTCTTCCTGTGTATAGCCACCTTTACTTTTAAGATCAGACAAAAAAAACCTGCATCAATATTACAAAGTAGGACATTTGTCTATCAAAATGGACATGTTCTACACATATACAGTCAGAGGAAAAAGTAATTCTTGAACAGAAACTGTATTTCTTAGATAAACCTTCTCTTATTCCAATGTTCTGTAGATACTACTATAGCATTGTACAATGCAGGCAGCTCCCCTTCTCTTTCCACCTGCAGTCACTTTCCCCAGCCTCTGGCCTACTTACCATGGACTGACCACAGTGCTGTGTCCCCAAGCTACGTAGGAGGCTTTTTCATCTCTTGCTGGAGACACGGTGGCGACATAGACTTGGTTGTCCAAAGCCCTAGACGTAACAAGACAAGATTTGTTGATTTTATTATATTGTCTCTTTATTTATCCAAACTGGATTCATATTGCCCTTTCCCCTCCCTGCTTACAGCATGAATCACACATGGGGAGGTCTTGTTTATCCACTCTCAACTTCATTCCTTCCCTCTTGCTTTACAGCTGACTTTTAAAAAACAGCCACTCACCTGTCCTACAAACCAGTGGTATGTTCACACAAGCCGGCTCACCGGCCATCCTCTCTCCCTGGCATCTTAAGTGTGGGTACCTGTGACCGTTTGTGGCTTCACAGCCGGGTGCCCACTGTGCATGCGTGAGTAGTGCTGCATATCTTGAATGGTCCTGTAGTCTTCTGGGACCTGTCACATGTCCCAAAAGACTGTAGGGATGGGGGGAGGGACAACTTCCTCTTCTGATCGTCTAGGCCAGTGGTGGCGAACCTATGGCACACATGCGGCAGCTGGTACGCAGAGCCCTCGCTCTCGGCACGTGAGCCAAGTCGCCCCAGCAGCCAAGCATTGAATAACAGTGCACATAGGGGCCATGTGTATGCTAAAAAAGGAGTAGCGGCGCCAGGCGATGATGTCACAAACTAAGACTCATCCGAGCTTTTGCATGGCCAGTCAGTGCGCTGCCAAGGATATGTATATTAGACTTGCTGTGAGTTTTAATACATTCATTTTTATTAACACAAGATTTTAGCTTGTGCTGGTGGTCAGTGAACTTTGCCCCTTTTTGCTGGTAGTCAGCGGAACCTTGCCCCCTTGTGCTGGTGGTCAGCGGAACCTTGCCCCCTTGTGCTGGTGGTCAGGGGAACCTTGCCCCCTTGTGCTGGTGGTCAGGGGAACCTTGCCCCCTTGTGCTGGTGGTCAGGGGAACCTTGCCCCCTTGTGCTGGTGGTCAGGGGAACCTTGCCCCCTTGTGCTGGTGGTCAGGGGAACCTTGCCCCCTTGTGCTGGTGGTCAGGGGAACCTTGCCCCCTTGTGCTGGTGGTCAGGGGAACCTTGCCCCCTTGTGCTGGTGGTCAGGGGAACCTTGCCCCCTTGTGCTGGTGGTCAGGGGAACCTTGCCCCCTTGTGCTGGTGGTCAGGGGAACCTTGCCCCCTTGTGCTGGTGGTCAGGGGAACCTTGCCCCCTTGTGCTGGTGGTCAGGGGAACTTTGCCCCCTTGTGCTGGTGGTCAGGGGAACTTTGCCCCCCTTGTGCTGGTGGTCAGCGGAAGCTCTGTTATTGTGTTTTTCCTTTAAGACAAAATATGTTAATGTATGGGTTTTTTCTAAACTAAAACCTCATTATTCGGGTGCAATTGCAGTGTTGGCACTTTGCAATAAATAAGTGGGTTTTGGGTTGCAGTTTGGGTACTCGGTCTCTAAAAGGTTCACCATCACTGGTCTAGGCAATTGGAGCGGAAGTGGGAGCGGGTACCTGTAAAAATCAGGTTCCCACTCCCCAAAGGTGCCAATTCCTCACGGGGAGCAAGGGACCAGTCCTTAACGTAGAACGTCCCCTTTTGAGTGGAGCTCTGCTTTAAGGAATCTTTCAAGTTTGTGTCTACTGTGGAAGGGAAGCACTGCGGGCAGCGGCTCTACCTGGGGAAAGTAACAGCGATCTGCTAGAAAAAGCTGTCCCAGCCATTTAACATTCTCAACCAAGCAAACATTGCCTAGGTATATCAGTCAGGGTCATAGATGGACCTATAAACCTACAAATACCCCCAATATGAAAAAAAGTGTACTCTACCCAAATACTACTTTTTATAAAACTAAACATTTTAGCTAGACCTACACTTTCATTTGCTTTCCTTTTCATAGAGTGTGGAAGCAGTAGAACCTCTGTCAGGTCTTTATTACTACCAGTCCCCTATTCTTCCTGTTTAGTGACATGACAGGGATTGAAAAAAAAACAAAATCCTAATCCTAAAAGGGTTCCTTGGGGTTTTACCACCAACATTAAAAGTTTAATTCACTATTTAACTGCCCACAACTGTCAGTCAAACTCCATGTTTTTGAATAAGCACTATAAACTGTTGGCATGGTTGGTATTACAAACACTTCCAATGCATGATGGAATGGTAAAAAAAAATATTTCACCAGAATAAGCTCTAATGATATAGAGATGCAGAGCCTCTCAACGTACCGTGCTCTCTGCAGCAGCTCCCAGTGTGCAGGTCCTGTTGTCATGTTAAATGCTCCGGGATATACCAATAACTGACAACCTGTTGAAAATCAACACAGTAAATGTTGCTTAAAGTATATGTGAATATCCCATTCAAATTAAAATAGAAATTAAATGCAAAACATTTGTGTGAAAAAAAGAGTAACACACAGGTCTAAGCATTTCAAAACCTTCTGATCTACTGCGATTTTCATGCACAACCATCTGTAGGGTTTACAGAGAATGGTCTTAAAAAAAGAAAATATCCAGTGAGTGGCAGTTGTGTGGACCAAAATGCCTTGTTGATGTCTGAGGTCAGAGGAAAATGGGCTGACTGGCTGCTGCAACATTCAGATGGTAGGGTCAGAATTTGGCGTGAACAACATGAAATCATGGATCCATCCTGCCTTGTATCAACGGTTCAGGCTGGTGGTGGTGTAATGGTGTGGGGGAGATTTTCTGGCACTAGCAAGGTGTACCTGTGTAGTGGTGTGAGTGTGTATATATTTATATTAAATATATGACTGATCGTGCCAAAAAACGTTTTATTTAAGGATAGTGATCATATGAAGACATTTATTATCATAGAATTGTTTGGCTCCTTTTTAAATCATAATAACAGAAATCACCCAAACAGCCCTGATCAAACGTTTACACACCCTGGAATGTTTGGCCTTGGTACAGACACACAAGGTGAAATACACAGGTTAAAATGGCAATTAAAAGGTTAATTTCCCACATCTGTGGTTTTTTAAATTGCAATTAGTGTCGGTGTATAAATAGTCAATGAGTTTGTTAGCTCTCACGTGGATGCACTGAGCAGGCTAGATACTGAGCCATGGGGAGCAGAAAAGAAATGTCAAAAGACCAGTGTAACAAGGAAATTGAACCTTATAAAGATGAAAAAGGATATAAAAAGATATCCAAAGCCTTGAATATGCCACTCAGTACTGTTCAATCACTTAAGAAGTGAAAAATGTGGGGATCTCTTGATACCAAGCCAAGGTAGACCAAGAAAGATTTCAGTCACAACTAACAGAAGAAATATTTGGGATACAAAGAAAAACCCACAGGTAACCTCAGAAGAAATACAGGCTGCTGTGGTTATTTCAAGGAGCACAATGCAATAATACTTGAATAAAAATGAGCTACATGTTGAGTTGCCAGAAAGAAGCCTTTAATGTGCCAATGCAAAAGAGCCCAGTTACAATATGCCTGACAACACCTTGACATGCCTCACTGCTTCTGGCACACTGTAATCTGGAGTGGCAAGACCAAAATAGAGTTATATGGTCACAACCGTAAGCGCTGTGTTTGGGGGGGGGGGGGAAGGGTCAAGAAGGTTTATAGTGACAAGAATGCCATCCCCACTGTGAAGCATGGTGGTGGCTCACTGATGGTTTGGGGGGTGTGAGCTCTAAAGTCATGGGGAATCTTATAAAAATTGATGGCAAGATGAATGCAGCATGTTATTAGAAAACAATGGCAGACAATTTGCATTGTGATACACGGAAGCTGTGCAGATCGCTCTTGGACTTTCCAGCACGACAATGACCCTAAGCACAAGGCCTCGTTGACCCTCCAGTGATTACAGCAGAAAAAGGTGAAGGTTCTGGAGTGGTCATGACAATATCCTGATCTTAATATTCGAGCCACTTTGGGGAGATCACAGAATGGGTGGTTCATACAAGATGACCAAAGACTTTGCATGACCAGGAGGCATTCTGCCAAGATGAATGGACACCTATACCATCAGCAATTATTCAGGCCTTATAGACCAGTATTACAAAAGACTGCACACTGTCATTGGTGATAAAGGGGGCAATACACAGTATTATGAACAAAGGGTATGCAGATTTGTGAAGAGGAGTCATTTCATTTGTTTACTTGTTGCCATGTCTTATCCACACTACAACACAGCCCGCAGCTAAGCCTAAGTTTACACTAGCGTCAAAAGCAGGCATTTTATGGGCATTTTTGCATTACCACGAATGCCTATCAAAACTGAGTGCATGTCAGCGGCCAGTGTTGTTCACATGGTTACATTAGCGTTGCAACAAAATTGATCCAAAATGTTTAGTTTTCCAGGCTTTACTCCTCCCCAAACTCTTCCATTGATATCAACGTAAACGTGCCAAAAATGCCCCTATGGCATTTACAATGTGTTTGAGATTCATTTGGAAAGCATTACTACCCAAGATGATGGAATAAAAATCCATACAATATAAAACCAACACAAAAGAGAAGCCTGGAAAGCGATACTTAATGTGATGCAAACAAGTTAGAAGTGCATCATAAATGCATCAAAAACAAGTCTCAACACAAAGTTGTGTTAATAAGTTTTCAAATTTCAAATCACAGCAAAGTAAGGCCTTAATATCTGATTGTACAATCTCTTTTATATCTATCAACAACTATGTAAGGAAAGGACCTGACTGTCTCGATACAAATTGATTGAATAGATTAGATAGACCCTCATTTTACATAGTTTTGGTAAAACGAATGTTGATTGTGCAAAGATTATACGATCAGACTGTAACATGAATGGTGACCTTAGAAGTACTTAGATGGTTTTTAAAATAAATATCATACAAAGCTTCAATCCAAATACCTTTCTTTGTGTAAATCTGGGCGAGTTCAGCAAACCTGATGTCATAACAGATGCCCACTCCAATCTTGCAATAGGCTGTTAAAATGATGAGATCAATGTTATTTCAAAAAGGATTAAATACAAGAAGAAGTAGAGAATGTTTGTGTATGTCATTTACTAAGTGCGTTGACTCTATTATTGAATGTGTGGCAAGGTTCTATCATTGGAAATATGGAGGTGGCTATTGCGGACCTCTCCTTCTGAAAATACTAGTTCCCTGGCTGTCATGCTGATCCATTGCTTTCAGTACTTTGTTAGTCACTGGCTTGGAACACATATGGATTTAGGAATCCCGGCATTCCTTGGTCATTGTACGTGCCATATTATGATCTCATCACACTGTGCCCTGAAACATGCTGCTGTGCCTAAGAAGGTTGCCCAATTAAAAAGGGGATGTCAAGGTAAAAGAAATAAAAAAACAAACAAACAAACAAACAAACAAAAAAAAAACCACATACACAGCACATGCCTGCAATACATGCACATTTACTCATAATTATTCCCTTTACAAATTCTGCAAGTACAGAAAAATGAATGATGAGGATTGGTATAGCCAGCACTCATCTTCCCGAATAATAAACTTTATTGAGCATATGTCATAGAAAATGGCCTATGTGTTTTGAAAAAAAGGCCCTAGTCATAGCCATAAAGTGCAAATCAAGACATTACATTTATATATACCAAATAAATAAATGTAAAAAAAAAGACTTTTGATGGTTATATCAAGGTTATTTCGTGGCACCTGCCATTTATTTGGCTGATTAATCTATTAAATTGCCTGATGGGTATGAGGAGAAGTCTCTTTTTTACATTCATTTATTTGGTATATATAAATGTAATGTCCTGACTTGCACTTTAGGGCTATGACTAAGGCTTATTGACAAAAGCTGTAGGACATTTTATATGCACATTTCACTTGCTCAATAAAGTTTATTATTTGGGAAGACGAGTGCCGGCTATACCAGTCCTCATCATTCAGTTGCATCTGTGCTGGGAGGACACACAGAGCCAGATCACCGACATTCCACCTCCGTGGGGATTATCTCTGGGCGTAGCACCTACTGTACTTGTTCAAGTACAGAAAAATACCTGTTTATCTGTCAAAAATACATTTAGATCTTAAGCTGGCCATAGATGGATCATAATTCGGCCAGTTCAGCAGAGACCAGCCACATTTCAAACCATCTAATGCCATTTCCATTAGAGAGGAGTTGACCTAGTGATCAACAGCTCTCAAATGGGACTGTTGGAAAATTTTAGCTTGATCAGCACATGCAGCTAAATGGCTGTAGCACTGAGCAGTGTATTCTGGCACTGGAGGAGTATCACTGTCAGAATACAATAATACTGCAGGAAGGATTCCTTTATCCACCTTGAATGTGTGGATGGGGGAATCCATTCAGTTTCTTTTTTGCACATTCAAGATGAATCTTCAGGGAATTATGTCTCTTTCTCATGGGTCTATGCCTCTTTGAATGCAGAGGATATTTCACTACTTTCAAAAGCTGCAGATTGGTATTGAATGGTCTTAGTTTATGACCCACAGGTACACCCAGATCCTTCTCCATCATTTATTCACCCATTGTTAACCCCCTAGGGTTCATAAGACATGACAAAATCTTCTCCACTGCAAACTAAACCCGCTGTGACTTAAACACCGGGTGCTGGACACTAAACTGAGCCACCCACACTCACAAACTTGATGCAGGAATATGAGACCCCCACACAACGACTGCATGTGCAATGGCAGCTTCCATCCTAGAACTGCCCCCCCTAATGCTTTTCACCCAACAGGGCCTCATAATAGAGATGCATCTTTCCAGTGAAACACATCAAAGGAGGCAGTTCTAGGGCTGGGACTGTCATCACAGCGATTATGGTTGTTTTTATGGAACAAAGTCAGACTTCAGTGATGCCATGGGTGTGCAGTGGTCTCCCGTTCCTGTCTCTAGGGTTTAGGTTTCATTTTTTTTTTTTTTTAGGAAAATGGCAGCACATGATAAGGTATATATATAATGGAAGGGAGTGTATGCTGCAGTACTGATAAGCAAGAACAATCACATACGCGTGTCAAACACAGAAAAGCTGTCTCCAGGAGTGAGCGTTTCTGATTCTTGGAATCGAATCTTCCCTGGAACATCAATATTAAAGAGGTGTATCTGTGGAACAAAAAAATGGACATCAAACATCCTAAAAGAAAATTACCCATAAACGTATATAATATACACCCACTGATAAAATAAATTCAGTAAAATAGACATGGGTGGATTGCCTTGAAAGTGCAACGTCTAAACCACAATTACTGCAAACTGGCAACCCACCCCCTGGCAATAATTTCTACTTCCTGTCAATCAAATGCTGAAAGTGTAAAGTAGGGGCTCTGATGTTTGGCTTTAGCAAGGTTCCTGCCAGAAGAAGATGGGGCTTAATCTCAACTTGGGCAGAAGTCCAGGCCCCATATACAGCCAGGGCCTAGAATCCAAGATAGCATTGCAAAGACACAAGTCATCAGCACTTCCTCCAAGCCGCACTAGGGATGTCAGTTTGAATCCCAACCACGGCACTACCTTCCTGGAGTTTGCATGTTCTCCCTGTGCCTGTGTGGGTTTCCTCCAGGAACTCTGATTTCCTACTGATAGATGAAAAGAAAGGAAGGTGACCACTCCAGGTGAATGCCAGATCACATAGCCCTTCCACCCACTTGTTGGTGCTGGCCTGATCAATAATTGCGGCATTGATGTGCAGTGCCACATCACTCCGGTTTTCCTCCTACACTCCAAAGACATGCTGGTAGGCTAATTGGCTCTTGTCTAAGTTGGTCCTAGTATGTGTATGCATGAATGTGAGTTAGGGACCTTAGATTGTAAGCTCCTTGAAGACGGGGACTGAAGTGAATGTACACAATATATTTAAAGTGTTACATAAATGGATGGTGCTATACAAGTACCTTTAATAAATATTTAAGACATAAGGATCAATCTGAAGAATAACACAGGTGTAAGATGCCTGCCCGGAGAGTATTAAAAGCCATTTTTTTGAAAAAGGAAGGAGATAGGACCTCTGCCAGTTTTTTTATTGGTATCTGTGTCCCCAGTGGGGATCTTCGCTGTCTCTGTCCTGATGACCATTTTAATTGGGACTAAAAGTGAGAGAAAAAAAAAAATTTGAGTTGTCCTTGAAGCGGGAATAGAGGCAAATTTTTCTCATGGAGACATTTGCTCCAGTGACAGTTGCCTAGGAGAGAGATCTAGGTTTGTTTGGAGACAAGAAGTGAAGGAAAATCTCCTCAAAGGTTCTAACCTTTCCCACCCCAATCAAAATTAAAAAAGAAAACACTTTTGATGACATTCCATTTTAATTACAAAAATACATCATGTGTGCTGAATATTTACTTGCATTTTCAGAACAAATTATTAAGGCATATTGTATACAAATCAATGTAATGTTGCAATATAATATAAAATATAGTTGTTTAAAGCCCAACTCCATGAAAGAAAAAATGTTTTCCCAAGCAGAAGGCTGTGCCAGCAGGGTTGTTTGTTTTGTCCAGGTGAGAAGAGCTGTATACTCACCGGAACCTCCACTCCAGCGGCAAACGGCACTCCCCCACAATCCAGACTGTTTATGCCATTGTCATGCTTAGAGCAGGTTTATGGGTGTGATAAACTGTGCTCCCCCACAATCCAGACTGTTTACGCCATTGTCATGTTCAGAGCAGGTCTATGGGTGTGATAACAAAGGCGTTCCCCCACAATCCAGACTGTTTATGACACTGTCATGCTTAGAGCAGGTCTATGGATGTGATAACAAACGGTGCTCCCCCCACAATCCAGACTGTTTATGCCATTGTCATGTTCAGAGCAGGTCTATGGGTGTGATAACAAAAGTGCTCCCCCACAATCCAGACTGTTTATGCCATTGTCATGTTCAGAGCAGGTCTACGGGTGTGATAACAAAGGCACTCCCCCAAATTCCAGACTGTTTATGACACTGTCATGCTTAGAGCAGGTTTATGGGTGTGATAACAAATGGTGCTCCCCCACAATCCAGACTGTTTATGCCATTGTCATGTTCAGAGCAGGTCTATGGGTGTGATAACAAAGGTGCTCCCCCACAATCCAGACTGTTTATGCCATTGTCATGTTCAGAGCAGGTCATTGGGTGTGATAAGGTCAGGAACAGTCCACCACACAAGACCACGGGTGGGGGGTTGGTTGAGGAGGGCAAGAGCCACAGGGACCAGTCTTGTGTGGGGAGGATCAGAGGATTAGATAAGCAGATCTCGTTTCTTCAATCCCCTAGACAAAAACAAGCAAATAACTTGTGCAGTGCGGGCACAGCCCCGCCACATAGGAAAACTTTTTTTTTTGCCCAGGATTGGGCTTTAAAGTACTTTGTACAGCAAGCTGGCTCACAAGCATCCCATTACCTTTCTGTGCTTTGCCAGCAATATTCCATCGGGACCGTACACAGTACATGTGTTGTACAATTTCCCAGAATCCTCCTCTGGTATAGAGCCTAGAGGGAAATGACATCAATACATCAAAACGTAGCCAAGAATCAGAGAAAACCAGACCGAAGGCTACAGCTAAATCAGAGGAGCACATTGGGGATTTTTCTGGCTAACACAGGTAATAGTGTGGTAACGGCACCTAAAAACCACAATTTATAGCATTATATCACACAGATTTTGATTCAGACCTCCAATCAGATAGATTCCACACTCCTTGGCTACTTCGGACAACATTTGTGTAGATTGGCCTGGAATCTTCTCAGCATATTCAGGAAAGAATTTGGTTCCATATGGAGAATTAAAGCATTCCTAATGTCAGAAATGTGGACAAAGAAGGCAGTTAGAAAATCAGCTCAGAACAACACACAGGTGAGACATTAGAGCACCGTCCTCTGTCCTGGCTTCCCACCTTGGTCAGAATATCACTGGTCACCCAACAACAGGGTGATACATGGAAAATGAAGGAAAGGAATTACCCCAGGCAGCATCCAGTGTGTGCCTCCAGATGCAAGGCTAACTTCACACTTGTGCAGATTGGGAACAGTTGCAACATCACATACATTCCCAACCCACAGGAAAAACACGGTGCACTTTAGCAGATGCGGGATGGAGCGATTAATTCTTAATGACACCACCATGCATCAGCAAAATGCCCATTTTTTTTTGAGCACAAAACCACATGATGCTGCAGCACCATGCAATCTCATACACCACAATTTAATAAAGGGTCTAGAAGTTCTTTACTTGCTTTTTTGCAGGTAGGGCAGCCTGTTGAAATAAATGTACAAATGATAAAGAACAAAGGGCGCAAACACCTAGTGCATTATCTACGGCACTTTATTGAAGGATAAAAGATATAATATACTCACAAAACCAGTATGAATAATAGCGTTGTATAAAACCCAGAAGCAAGCCCATCGTGTAACTACTCAAGTTCAATGAATGACAATACCAGCTGACACGTTTCGGGGATAAGCTCCCTTCTTCAGAGCAGCACTGGTATATACCTGACTTTTCCACCCCCTTATATTAGGACGACTAAATATTAGTCCCACCCACACCAGGAAGTGGAGAGGGAGGAGGAAGAGGTGAAAAAGCATAGTGGTCACCATTATCAAAGGTATCATGTCCAGCTTCACTAAAAGCACTATGGTGTCAAGTTTTCACTAAGTCATTGAAATGAATTGGCTACCCTACCCACAAAAGTGGATTGCACTGATTTGAATGAAGCCCAATGGAAACACAAAGCTGCAGCTTATATGGAGAATATGTTATATAGATACGCACCGGGAGAGCTACAACCTGAGCTCCTTGCTTGGCCGCCTGTTTTACCAGCTCGGATGCCCTCTTCAGATTATCTGCTTTTACAGGAGAAACAAAGAGCTGAACTAGACCCAGGCGGAATTCTATGGAAAAAACACACAAATCAGTTTTAGAAATCTTTGTTCACCTATTAACAAAGACTTAGTGAGTAACAGATAAATATTTGACATTGGGTCTGGTCACGTTGTCTGGAGCAAAGTTTACTCAGCTGACCATTTGTGTCATTGTGGATTTGGAGGACAAAGCTAAATTTAGACGTCCCTAGCACAATTCTGACCCAATGAGCAACCTATACAGACACAGTATAATGGCCGGGCCACCAGGAACCACACGACATCCCCATAACTACAACAATGTATCATATTTAAGTCCTAAAGGAGACCCGTCCTGATACCCTTCTCTTTACTATCACCAGTCACAATCACTGGGATTCCCATCATCCTCATGTCCTACTATGGTATGGCTTGTATTAAAGCTGAACTCCGGGACAAACAAACAAACATTGTCTAAATACAAGACTTTCGTGTAGCCAAGCCAAATCTTGGTGTGCTTTGTGTACTTCTTCCAGATCTGTGCAGTAACCCAGTGTGAAACTTTCCCTCTGTGCAGGAGCTTCCTGTAATAGAGACCGGTCACTGCTGCTCTCACTGGTCTTGTATCCACCCCTCCTGTAGCTTTCTATAGTGGGTGTGGCCTGCTGGGTCCCTCCCACAGCTCTGCTCTCTGCACAGGTTACGCACAGCCCAGTGATGATTTCACTGCTACTTTTATATTATAACAACTGGATTTGCAAATGAATTTGGAGCACAAAAAGTGGGTTTCTATCGTTTATGGCTGTTAAAAACTACAGTTAGGTCCATATATATTTGGACACAGGCATAATTTTATTTTTTTCAGGTATTTACCAAAACATATTCAAGCTATAGTTATATAATGGATATGGGCTGAAAGTGCACACTCTCAGGGTTAATTTGAGGGCATGTACATGAAGGAAGAGTTTAGGAATTACAGCTCTTAAAGAGTAGCCATCCCCCCTTTTGCAAGGGACCAAAAGGAATTGGACAATTGAATCAAAAGCTGTTTCATGGCCAGGTGTGGGCTACTCCTTTCGATTCTGTGGTATTTTCATTTGGAATCTATTGCTGTGAACCTACATCATGTGTTCAAAAGGAGCTGTCCATGCAAGTGAAACAGGCCATTGTAAGGCTTCAAAAACGAAACAAATCCATCAGAGAGATGGCAGCAACATTAGGAGTGGCCAAATCAGCAACATAAAAAAGCCATGGACATCCACAGAAGACAAAGAGTGGTGAATGATCGCAGGATCCTCTCTATGGTAAATAAAAACCCATTCACAACATCCAGACAAGTGAAGGACACTCTCCAGGAGGAGGGCGTATCATTGTCAAAGTCTACAATCAAGAGAAGACTTCACAAGAGCAAATACAGAGGGTTCACCACCAGGTGCAAACCATTCATAAGCCTGAAGAATAGAAAAGCCAGATTAGACTTTGCCAAAAAAAAGGCAGACCAGTTCTGGAAAAGCTTTCTTTGGACGGATGAAACTAAGATTAATCTGTATCATAATGAGGGAAAGAAAAAAGTGTGGAGAAGGCTTGGAACAGCTCATGATCCAAAGCACACAATGTCATTTGTAAAACATGGTGGAGGCAGTGTGATGGCATGGACATGCATGGCTTCCAGTGGCACTGGGTCATTGGTGTTTTATTGATGATGTGACAGAAGACAGAAGCAGCCGGATGAATTCTGCAGTGTTTAGAGATATACTGCCAGCTCAGATTCAGCCAAATGCAGCAAAGTTGATTGGATGGCGCTTCACAGTACAGATGGACAATGACCCAAAACACACTGCAAAAGCAACCCAGGAGCTTTTAAAGGAAAAGAAGTAGAATATTCTGCAATGGCCGAGTCAATCACCTGATCTCAACCCAATTGAGCATGCATTTCACTTGCTGAAGGCAAAACTAAAGGCAGAAAGACCCACAAAGAACAACTGAAGACAGCTGCAGTTAGAGCTTGGCAAAGCATCAGAAAGGAGGAAACCCAGTCTTTGGTAATGTCCATGGGTTCCAGACTTCAGGCAGTCATTGACAGTAAAGGATTGTCAGCAAAATATTAAAAATGAACATTTTATTTATGATTATATTCATTTGTCCAATTACATTTGAACCCCTGAAAATGGAGGGACGGTGTATAAAAATGGCTGCAGTTCCTAAAATTTGTACTTGATATTTATGTTCAACCCTTTGAATTAAAGCTGAAAGTCTGCACTTCAAACTCATTTGGATTGTTTTGTTTTTATTTATTCTGGTGGCATACAGAGCCAAAAGTATGAAAATTGTGCCTATGTCCAAATATATATGGACCTAACTGTGTATTTAAATAAAAGATTTTGTGCCAGAGTTCAGCTTTAAAATTGCCAAAAAAAAACTGTAAATAAAGAAAGCATAAAAAATAAAAAGGAAACTAGTTCTGAGAAAAATACCAGAGCAGTCATTGCTGACCTCCCGAGAATACTAGTCACCTGGCTGTCTATGATTGCAATACTTTTGGAGTGACTGACTGGAACCAGCACACATATTAGAAAGTCAAATTGAGGAAGAAGGGAATAGATCTGCCTCAAATGGTCTGTAAGGAAGAGAAAGCCTAGGAACTCCTTCCCTCTCAGTCCCCGACAGTCTCCTGTCACACGTTCCCAGTCCCCGACAGTCTCCTGTCACACGTTCCCAGTCCCCGACAGTCTCCTGTCACACGTTCCCAGTCCCCGACAGTCTCCTGTCACACGTTCCCAGCCCATGACAGTCTCCTGTAACATGTTCTCTGTTCCTAACAGTCTTCTGTCACATGCTCTAAGTTCCTGACAGTCTGTAACATGTTACCAGCCCATTACAGTGTATTGTCACATGATCCCAGTCTCTGACAGTCTCCTGGACTATGGTCCCTGTCCCTGACAGTCTCCTGGACTATGGTCCCTGTCCCTGACAGTCTCCTGGACTATGTTCCCAGTCCCTGACAGTCTCCTGCACTATGTTCCCATTCCCTGACAGTCTCCTGTAGCATGTTCCCAGTTCCTGACAGTCTCCTGTAGCATGTTCTCAGTCCCTGACAGTCTCCTGTAGCATGTTCCCAGTCCCTGACAGTCTCCTGTAGCATGTTCCCAGTCCCTGACAGTCTCCTGTAGCATGTTCCCAGTCCCTGACAGTCTCCTATAGCATGTTCCCAATCCCTGACAGTCTCCTGTAGCATGTTCCCAGTTCCTGACAGTCTCCTGTTGCATGTTCCCAGTTCCTGACAGTCTCCTGTTGCATGTTCCCAGTAACAGACAGTCTGTTGCATGTTCCCAGTTCCTGACAGTCTCCTGTTGCATGTTCCCAGTTCCTGACAGTCTCCTGTTGCATGTTCCCAGTTCCTGACAGTCTCCTGTTGCATGTTCCCAGTTCCTGACAGTCTCCTGTTGCATGTTCCCAGTTCCTGACAGTCTCCTGTTGCATGTTCCCAGTTCCTGACAGTCTCCTGTTGCATGTTCCCAGTTCCTGACAGTCTCCTGTTGCATGTTCCCAGTTCCTGACAGTCTCCTGTTGCATGTTCCCAGTTCCTGACAGTCTCCTGTTGCATGTTCCCAGTTCCTGACAGTCTCCTGTTGCATGTTCCCAGTTCCTGACAGTCTCCTGTTGCATGTTCCCAGTTCCTGACAGTCTCCTGTTGCATGTTCCCAGTTCCTGACAGTCTCCTGTTGCATGTTCCCAGTTCCTGACAGTCTCCTGTTGCATGTTCCCAGTTCCTGACAGTCTCCTGTTGCATGTTCCCAGTCCCTGACAGTCTCCTGTTGCATGTTCCCAGTCCCTGACAGTCTCCTGTTGCATGTTCCCAGTTCCTGACAGTCTCCTGTTGCATGTTCCCAGTTCCTGACAGTCTCCTGTAGCATGTTCCCAGTCCCTGACAGTCTCCTGTAGCATGTTCCCAGTCCCTGACAGTCTCCTGTAGCATGTTCCCAGTCCCTGACAGTCTCCTGTAGCATGTTCCCAGTCCCTGACAGTCTCCTGTAGCATGTTCCCAGTCCCTGACAGTCTCCTGTAGCATGTTCCCAGTTCCTGACAGTCTCCTGTAGCATGTTCCCAGTTCCTGACAGTCTCCTGTAGCATGTTCCCAGTTCCTGACAGTCTCCTGTAGCATGTTCCCAGTCCCTGACAGTCTCCTGTAGCATTTTCCCAGTCCCTGACAGTCTCCTGTAGCATGTTCCCAGTTCCTGACAGTCTCCTGTAGCATGTTCCCAGTTCCTGACAGTCTCCTGTAGCATGTTCCCATTCCCTGACAGTCTCTTGTAGCATGTTCCCATTCCCTGACAAACTCCTGTAGCATGTTCCCATTCCCTGACAGTCTCCTGTTGCATGTTCCCATTCCCTGACAGTCTCCTGTAGCATGTTCCCAGTTCCTGACAGTCTCCTGTAGCATGTTCCCAATCCCTGACAGTCTCCTGTAGCATGTTCCCAGTTCCTGACAGTCTCCTGTTGCATGTTCCCAGTTCCTGACAGTCTCCTGTTGCATGTTCCCAGTAACAGACAGTCTGTTGCATGTTCCCAGTTCCTGACAGTCTCCTGTTGCATGTTCCCAGTTCCTGACAGTCTCCTGTTGCATGTTCCCAGTAACAGACAGTCTGTTGCATGTTCCCAGTTCCTGACAGTCTCCTGTTGCATGTTCCCAGTTCCTGACAGTCTCCTGTTGCATGTTCCCAGTTCCTGACAGTCTCCTGTTGCATGTTCCCAGTTCCTGACAGTCTCCTGTACATGTTCCCAGTCTCCTGTAGCATGTTCCCAGTCCCTGACAGTCTCCTGTAGCATGTTCCCAGTCCCTGACAGTCTCCTGTAGCATGTTCCCAGTCCCTGACAGTCTCCTGTAGCATGTTCCCAGTCCCTGACAGTCTCCTGTAGCATGTTCCCAGTTCCTGACAGTCTCCTGTAGCATGTTCCCAGTTCCTGACAGTCTCCTGTAGCATGTTCCCAATCCTGACAGTCTCCTGTAGCATGTTCCCAGTTCCTGACAGTCTCCTGTTGCATGTTCCCAGT